ATAAGCAAGAGTTTAAGAGACGATGGAAAATATGACACTGAAATGCAACTGAGCATTGGAATAGCAAAAAATGTTCTCCAAACGTTAAACAAAGAAACAGGAAAATTTCATTAGAAACAAAGCTAAAACATGCTGAACTGCTATGCAATATCGATCCTTCTATATGGCAGTGAATGCGGGACAATTTCCTCACAGATGTCTGTAACAGATTTACTTCTACAGAAAGATACCGAGAATGCCATAGAAGAAACATGTGAAGAATGAGGAAGTTTTAAGGAAAAAAAGAGCCAAAAATACACACAAACTAAGATGAAAATTCGGGGACAAATAATGATGAAAGTGAGCGTGGAGAATTTGACACAGGCATATTGAAAATAAGTGGAACAGGGGGGAAACATCGAGTAACGTATCTAACAAGCTTTTGTAAATGGATAGGAAAACAGAGGAGATAATAAGAAGACAAACATTGCTTGGAGCTTCTAAGCATCGGAAATTGTAGAGATATATAATCACCCACGTCCTGAAAGGATAGGGCTCATAAAAAAAGAAGAATTGACTCCATATTTATTACCATGGTTTCTTATGCCATACTAAACTAAGAATAACAAATATGAAAACGTTTTATGCATTTTTGTTTTGCTGTCAATACATTTATTTTTCTTTTTAAACCAAGATGGACGATGTCTACTAAAAATAAATCCTCGTAAAAGAATATTTTCTCAAGGCAAATTTAAAAATTCAAAAGAAAAGAAAAACAGATTGAATAAATTTTAGATGACCAGAAGCCTTTGATAGATCGAGACAATCAGGAATAATTTTCACTTCGTTTTAACTCTGTCGGCAGCCTTTGTTTGTGTCTGCTGTTAATTCAATCGTGTATGAATTAATTGCAGACTGATTAATTTTATCGATGCGAATAATCAAAATAAAACAATTTAAAAGTTGTCTTTGTCATCAGATTATTGTATTTTTGTAACTTTTATTTTTATTCAAATTGTTAAGGGTATTTTGAAGACAAATACTGTTATCTCAAATAAAATTCAAAGAAATTCGGATCAATCAGAGACAGAATTAAAGACAAAATCACTTTCGTTTTCAGGTGTTACAGCAAGAGCACAGCACAGGTGGAATGAAGATGTAAATTCTTCGTCAAAAATGGAATATGCTATTATTTTGAAGAAATTTTTTATTGTAATAGTTTTCAGATTTAGCGTATGAAATATGTCTTATTGTACAGAAGTAGTTTCCATTACGAGGATCGGCTAGAATTTCCATAGGTTAACCAAGATATAAATATAAGTAGACACACACCAGTTGGCAGACTAAAAGACATGCAGGTGTATCAGAATACATGCAAGTAACATGATAAATTTATATCTAGATCGGTCTTAACGGAACAACCTTTAGATTAAATTTTCATAATAGGAAGCACAAATTTTCAGAAACGTACCACAATTTAAATATCTGGGGAGTGTTTTGATACAAGACGGAAAGTGTGACACTGAAATTAGAAGGCGTATTTGGATAATTAAAGAATCCCTCCAAAACCTAAGCAAAGCATTAAGAAACAAGAAAATTACGTTAGAAAAAAAATGAAGAGTTCTGAGCTATTAAGTAATATTAGTCCTCTTATACGACAGCGAATGTTTGACAATCTCCTTAAAAATGAGGAAGTGATTTGAAGCATAGAAATGTGGTTTTACAGAAGGATGCTGAGAATACCATGGACCGAACAACGACGAAGTTTAAGATAAAATGTAAACAATAAAATGCTTACACGATAACATCAAGTAAAGACAGTTTAAATTTATAAGGTACACAATAAGGAAAGAGTGTTTGAAAATTTTGATACACACAGGGCATATTGTAGGCAAGAGGGACAGAGGAGAACAACGCATAGCCTATTTGTTGTTTAACGGCATATCAACTCCTTAAAGGTCATTTAATGCTGAAATTTCATTTTCTTGGTAACTTTGAAGTAATAAAAATAAGATATATGTTATTCTGTTTTCACAATCAAATACATGGTAGATGATACTCAGATTTTGTGCATATATTGTTGTGTCGACATAGTTACTAGAGGCGGTGATATGTGCATTTTATGTTGCAGTTTTGTTGGAGTTATATTATCTAATTCAGTTGGATTTCTTGAAGAAATTGTAGGAATATTTTATGGATTAAGGTCATGAAAGAGTTCTTTCATGTTGATTGTTTGGTTGAGTTTGTTTAGCGGCATATCAACATCTATGGGGTATCTCATACCGAAATCAAACACAATTGCATGCCTTCAACTACAGATAAAATGTATCGTTGGTCATTTTCCTATAAATATGTATTATTGGTAAATTTATTATAAATATGTATTTTTATACTTTTGTTTTTGTTTGGTGGTGTTCACTATTTGTTCATAGCTGTGACCCTAACAGCTGCTACCACCCTGGCTCAGGATGTCGCTGTGAACAACAGCAATCTAGTGGTGTTTTTTTTTTTGTTCCGCAAAACATCCAGTTTCCCGATTACTGCCAGATGTAGTTCACCGTCATACCCAGGACTATGCATGACCTACCTAACTTGTGTAAATTGATAGCAGAACAGGGTTTAGGAGATATAATAAAAAGAAAAAAATTGTTAAGTGCTACTAATGACAAGAAATTTTGGAGAGCCATGATCGCCAACGTCCCGAAGGGATACGGTACATAGAAGAAGAATGTCAAAAAAAAGGGACACTCACTCTCATTGATTCTTCATCTCTACCCCTAACGCTAAAAGAATTGTATTAGAGTTCATATATATGAATAATGGAAAGTTCAAAAAGATATAAAATGATCCGTAATGCAAATCGTGTTACTTTTTTTTTTTTTTTTTTAAGTGAAACTGGTGAGAAAATGTACAAAAACAGAATGTTTGATGACTACTTTTAATCTTGCCATAATCGTAAAATGTGATTTATTATCGTTTAAAAAAGACGATTAAAATATAGCATAGTGGTTATCAGCGAGAAAAGTGTGATGAGTGTGTCGAGTTCAAATCCAGGCCGAGGTCACTGCGTTCACTTTCACACTCCCTTTCCATGTGAATCATTTCCTCTCCATCCCACCAGCTATTGGTAAATAACAAGACAGACAGCT